ACACACACACACACACACAAGCACACATACATCGTAGAATCCATAATAAGGTCAAGAAGTTAAAGTGTTCGCCTCTCTTTCAATGGGTCCCAGGTTCGAATCAGGATAATGACTGAAAAATTTCTTCTCTAAAATGTTCTCCTTTCACCTCCTTTCCGGCTCGCTAACATTGCTCTGTCGTCTGCTTTCGTCTCCACATTCTGCCCCCTCCTCATCGCCTCCTTTTCCCCCTCCTCTAGGTTCCTGGTTCTTTCTGCAGCCTTTCTAATGTTACTTCTTGGCTCCTTCTTACTGTTGTCCTTTACCCACACCCCTGAATCGTATGGTAGGTAAGATCTACACCAAGCTTTCTGGGATAATGGCGAGAAATCTAGGAGGTCCTTTGTGATAGTTGGGCACGTTAAAAATCCCTTGGAGGTCAAAAATCGATAAAAGTAGGTTTCGGCTGCCACCCTGACAAAATTCAAAATTTCTTACTAACTGTAAAAAGTTTAACAAATCTCGTGCACTCATATTACGTTATGCAGTTGCAAGCGCCGCAAACCATTTACCTGTACCAAAACAAAAAAGACCCATTTAATATGACATGTTATGTACATACAGTGAACCTCAGCAACAACAGCCCCACCGTGACCGACGCTATAATATACCTACTGCAGCTGAATTCTTCTATACACAGGAATTATGTTTATGCACTCTAAGTAATGATTAACTAATGGGATTGTTTTTATTTCATGGTATTCCAACCCTTGGCTATCAATGTATCAGTTATTGATATCTGTCTTCTCTAGTGATATCTTTTCTCGTCACCTTTATCTTCTTTTCTGGTATGAAAAGTAGTAGGTTAGACTTAATTTGAGATGCACGGTAACACTTATACTAATCATTGAATTTATAACGCACAGATCCAAGCATACGTTTTAGTCTTTTTTTAAAGTTTTAGTAGAGGGTTTTCGGCGTTACAAGAGAGTAACAAACATAAAAAAGAAGAAGGGGAAATAAGGACAATGGATGTTTGATAGGAAAGAAGAAGCAAACCACACTAGAACACCTGCCAACCACCCACACAGCATACTCTGTGTGCTATACAACTACAGGGTGTCTAAAAAAATGACCCACTTAAAGGACAATAACTCAGTCAATAATGTGCACTAATTTTATCAAACCTTCTGAAAAAAAAAATTCAACCACAAAGACGTCAATTTGTAAATTATGAAGAAGTGTTCGAGAAATTTCAAGTTTTAAAAATGTCACCCAACATTGACTCAAACGCCAAGTTTTACTTCTTCAAAGCGTTCAGCTACATGGCCGAGTGGTCTGCCCATTCTGATTTCTGAAAAACGATAGTAAAACCTCGACAGTCATATAATATCAGATAGATACCTCACCATATTGAGAAATTATTGAAAAAGTTTGGGAAAGAAATGGTGTTAGGATGTACAAACCTGGTTCCAGGTAGATGGGGTCATACTTGGACATCAAGAGTGGCCCTTGTATGTTTTCAAGAAAGGTTTGGAGAGCCGTATAAGCCAAACGTTTACTAATGAATGATCATGCCATTCGCCCCCCCCCCTCAACTTGAGTCCCTTCAATACTTACTTTTGGAGGTTTTTTGACAGAGTCTAGGGAAACAGCATACAAAACAGTCCAACAGTTGAAACTCATTGTTTAACCAGAATCGACCCAGAAACATATCACAGTTTTATTGAAAATTTCAAGTGGCAAATTTGAGCTTGTTTTGGGAGAAACGGTCAGCACCTGGAGATTTAAATATACATCACCTCCCTAAGTTTATTTGGCAATATCAGTGTTGTGCAAATTGCTTTCGTTCGTCAAAGCACAACTGGTGACTACTTGACAGAACAATATAGTTGACCTTAAAAATTGCTAAATTTGGCATTTCACTCAATTTTAGTTGACATTTTGAAAACTTGTTTATTTTTCTTAACATGAAAATTGATTTTTTTTCATCGATGAATGTAATGTACCCCCCCCCCCTTTTTTTATGTTTGTTACTCTCTTGTAACACCTCTAATCTTCTGGCGCTCAAATTACCTTATGCAGTTCCGAGCGCCATAAAACCTCTACCACAACTAAAAGACCTAAAAACAACGAACATGAAATATATGGCGCGGGGGTCATGGAAAAGCTTTAGATTTGCTTGCGTAAGGCAGACATGCGTCTGAATATAACCCTGTCACTCCCAGGCCAGCGGAATTGTTCTTCCAACAGGGACAAAAAACAGAAACAAGGCAGAATAAACATGAATCTGCCCCCCCCCCAAAAAAAAAAAGTGTCGTAATACAATAGCAGCAAAATAAGACAAGATAACATAATAAGATGGATAAACTTATATTTTACATTTCCTGGCATACTGGTTTGGTGTTTCACCGCGTACACAAACATACACACTCACCAACACACTCATCCACACGCACAGTCATCCACACACACCCATACACACAGACACACATGCCCGCGCGGTCACTCAAAAACGTACCCACACGCATGTGCGTCCACCCATACATACACACTCTTTCACGCATCATCTCCTCCACACACATACTCTGTACACATAAATGTAATAACAAAATAAAATGCTTGAGTTATAGACCAGATATTTGCTGACAATGTTTGGTCCGCCAGAGGGGGAAAATCATTCAGATTTATTGACGAGTCGAAATGATAAAAACCCTTATGACTTTTTTTAAACGAACCCAATTGTTACATTTAATCAATCAGTTATGATAGTTTGGGTTTTTTTCGACGTTATGTTACGCTTAAAAATGTGTGAATCATGACTGAACCTGTCTGATTTTATCTGAACGTTCAAGTGGCAGAGGAGAGGGAGGGGCTTAAAAAACACGCAATGAAACGAAATGGGCTTTCCTGAGATTGTAGATACAGCTCGATATAGTATAGAATAATGATAATTCTAAGCCTTGTAGGCCTTTCGCACTACGACAAAAGCGTTGGCAACTGTTGTTGTTTCTTGG